ATGAGATGATTGTGATGATGATGGGGATGGGGATAGGGATGATGGTAATGATTGTGATGGTGGAAATGATGATGGAGATCAGATCTTACTATGTGACTGTGGCCTTAAACTTGAACTTGCTGTGTAGCTTGGCTGGCCTTGAACTTAAGACCTACCTTCTTCCACCAGAGTGCTGAGAATATAGATGTGAGCTACCAGGCCCTTTAAAAAATCTGTGGCTCTATTTACTTATTTATTTAGAGGTGCTGAGGTCAAGCCTAGGGCCTTAGGTATGCTAGGCAAAGTACCACTGAACTACATCCCCAGCTTTTTGCTGAGGATTCTATAGGATGTGGCAGAAACACTCCTGCTCCTGGTTTCTGTCATTCCTGTGAAGTGAAAAGGGGATGTTGCAGTTGGGGATTGGCTCTTGGCTCTGATAGGGGTTGATAGATAGTGAGGGTGAAATGAAACTGGATTTCCCCTTTACAAAAGCTGATTGTTTGCGACCTTAGTTTGTTTCACTAGCACTGGACTCTAGCCTGTAGGTTAACCCAGTTCAGAACTCTGGAGGGTCCTGAGAGACAGCACGGGTCCCCAGGAGTTCCAGCAGGGGATCCTTCTGCAGGAGCCCTGGAGGCGCACGTCTGGCACTGGCTGCAGGCTTTCTGGAAGGGGCTATTGGGCAGGATTTTCCAGATGAAGGCTGAGGCCACTGGTTGTTCTGTGATGAATATCATGTTCCACACCTCCACTTTGGAGGGTTTACACCTGCTAAAGAAATCCCTGCAGGAAACCTAGGGGGACTGCTACTGTCTGGTGGTGAAGTCAGCCCACCCTCTGCCCATCCCTCCTACTAATTAGCATCTCTGAGTGATGCCAACCCCTAGGAGAAGAAGGAGTGGCTTTAGGGGCAGAGCCTAGAAAAACACTCAGCGTACTGATGAATAAATTTACATGTTTAAGCAGGCCACCTCCTCTGCTAGAGTTGCCTTCTGGTAGAGATTTCCAGAAAGGTCTCTCCTTCACTTTCTGCACCTTCCAAGGACCCATGTAGAAGAAGGAGGGCATAGCACGCTTCCATGCCCGCTGGCTCTCACACACAGATCACAACTGCTGGAAGGTTGCTGCCTTCCAATTGCTGGGTCCACTGAGCCCAGAACAGTGGCCTGGGGTTCTGACTGGAAGTCCAAGTGTGTTCTCAGCAGAGGGCCCCCTGCCAGGCTCCCTGCTGTGGGGCTTTGTTTCACATCTCTCTTCTAGTTCTTCCTGCTGCTCTAGGTGACCACCAGACTCTGCTGATCCTGGCTGAAATGTCTCTAGGAAGAACTACCCCTCGAGCCTCATAACTGAGGCCTGCTGAATGTGCCCTTCTCTAGGACCTGCACCTGCCCTGAGACAGCCTCTTCCCTTCCAGGATCTCTCTGCAAATGATCCTGCTGCCCATGAGGTTCAGAACACCACATATCTTGCCCACCTGCCCTGATTCTGGCCACCTGCAAAGCCAGAGCCTAGATGGCGGCTAGAGGGAAGGAAGTGGGGTGTGCCCATGCCCAGGAGCCTTGTCTGGCTTAAGGCTACCACAAGCATGAGCAGGTCATAACACACAGTACACACAGTGACAGACCCTCCCAGGCAGATGCAGAGCCCCAAATCCCACTCCTGTTTACACTACATGCTGTTGGGGGCCTTCTTCCCAAGGAGCTGTGTGTGTCTTGAAGCAGGAAGCTGTCTTCTTTCTATTGTGGTCATCACTGACCCACAGCGGAGCTATGGATGGGAACTGGATACATGTCTCAGAACCTGAGCCTCCTATATTCTGGGAGCCTGGGAGTTCCCATGTATGGCTTATGTCCACTGGGCCTCCTGCCGTCCCCTTCCACACTGGAGATGTGTCCCCATCTCTGAGCAAGTCTGCATGTTGTGTCATTTTTTTGTACTGTTTTAGCTCTACCTTAGTCCATCTTTTCTGTGACTTGTCATCCACTCTCCACAGACGGGAGCTCTGGAAGCTTCAGGCCTCTGGTAGCTTTTTTCAGTGGACCCCTCAGCAGAGTCCCCTGGGAAATTCAGTCCTCACCCCTCACTTGTGCCCTACAGATGCTCCATCACCTGCCACTCTCATAGCCACACTTGCCATTTATCAGCTCTTACCCCAGCAGACTTTCTGGCCTCTCTTTATGAGGGGCCAGTCTCACTGGGACGGGGAATGTGGGGTTGGGGTAAGGAATCCCCCTGTGAGTTCCAGTCTTGCCCAGCTTTATGGAGCAGGGTGGGTGGAAGGGTTAAACAGGTGAACCTGAGGGCTTTCAGGATCTGGGTGCTGGAAGCTGCTTCAACAAAGTTTGCTAATGATGCCACTTCCCAGGAAGGCCGCTCAGTGAGGAACCAGACACTAATGAGAACTGACTGGGCTGCGAGGAGCAGGTGCTGAGTGAGGTTAGCAAGTGGGAACCCAGAGAGAAGGCCTAATGGCCTTGGTGGCATTTCAAGGGTACCACTCTGCTTGGGGCCATGATCAGGAGCCTGGGGAAAAGGGCAGTGCAGGACTGGAGTGGAATCTCTACCCACCCCATCTATAACTTGACGTGCTTCATGGTGCTGGCATGGGTCACCCGCAGCATGGGTCACAGACTCCTGACCCCTCCAGGTAACACTACAGGAGGTCTAATGAGAGGCGGGAGGAGGGCATTTGAGAAGGACTGATGAGTGGTACCAAGGCTCTGCTGTATCAGCTTTGATGGGCCCAGGCTGTCTCTTCTGGCAGACAGCTCTCTAACTGGCCTCTTGGGCCAAGCCATTTGTACCTCTTTTCTCTATCACAACATCCATGATGCTAATGGATGCAGGCATCTCTGGCTAGACAGGAAGACTTTCACAGGCATGCATGACTTCTGTCTTGAGAAAGCCAATTTGAGGCACCCTTGCCACCTACCTTCCAATGTTGTGAGAAGCAGGGCCAGAGCCTTGTGCACATCACACTACAGTGCACTGTCAAGTGTGACACTCCTCACCCTGTCCCCCAACACTGAGACAGGCTGGTAGCAGACAGAACGCGGTGGCTAGGCATGCAAAGCTTATTATTGCAGGATCATTTTCAGTCATTCTTTTCATTCTAATGTAAAGAGGGCTTAAGTGGCAGCTGATGGAGCGTTTTTGATGATAGATTGCCATGCAATTTGGGGCATACATCTGAGAAGCAGTACAGGGAAGCGAGTGGCACGCCTACAGCCTTCTACAGCACACACAGCTGTAAAGAATGAAGAATCAGTTCTAAATCCCGACTCATTCCTCTTGTAAAATTTATCCATGGGCTCCTGAACAATTTAAATTTCTAACCTCTTATTTAAGGTGTGGTTTCAACAAAATTTCCTTTTTAGGTTTAAAAATTATAAAAATTTTCAATATCTAGGGCTGGCAAGATGGCTCAGCGTGTAAAGGTGCTTATCGCCAAGCCGTATGACCTGAGTTTGACCTCCCAGACCCACATGGTAGAAGGAGAGAACTGACTCCCAAAAGTTATTCTCTGACCTCCACATGCACACCATGGCACACATGCTCACCAGCCTCCACTAGGAAATATAAAGTATTTAAAAGAAAACTTTTCTATATCTAATGTGGCTTTAATAAATTGTTTATAGGACTAGGAAGATGGCTTAGCAGTTAAGATCATATACTGTTCTTGTTGAAGACCCGAGTTCAGTTCCCAGCTTCCATATTAGGTGGCTCCCAACTGCCTATAACTCTAGCTCCAGGGGGATCAGATGCCTCTGGACTCTGTGGGTACCTACACTTATGTGCACATAACCACACACAGACACATAATTAAAAAATGAAAATAAATCTTAAAAAGGAAAATTTAAAAATAGTTTATATTAAAAATAGTTTTAGTAGCCAAGCATGGTGGCCTTTAATCCTAGCACTCAGAAGGCAGAGGCAGGGGGGTACTATCCTGAGCCAAGGTTATGGTGGTACACTCCTTTAATCCAAGCACTCAGGAGGCAGAGGCAAGCAGACCTCTATGAGTTCAAAGCCAGCATGGTCTGTGTACACAGTTCGAGGCCAGCTGGAGCTACAGGGAGACCCTGTGTCAAAAAAAAAAAAAGAAAAAAGAAAAAAAGGTTTAAAGTATGTCTGTAATCCCAGCACTCAGAAGGCTGAGGCAGAATTGTTAAGTTCAGTGCCAACCAGGGCTACAGAGCAAGTTTGAGTTTAACCTGAGTTAAATAGTGAGACCTTGTCTGACAAATCCAGAAAAATGAAAAGGTGTAATAACCCAATCTAGAAGACTCCTTTCGAACCCCTCCGAGATGGGTATGGTGGAAATGCACACCTAATCCCCACACTTGGAAGCTGGAGGCAGGAGGATCTTGAGTTTGAGGCCAGCTTGGTCTCTATAGTAAGAACCTGTCCTGAGAATCTTTGGTCACGAGAATTTAAATGCTTAAATTTCAATTCATTATTTATGTCCAAGAAGCATGAGAAGCCACAGAAGACCTCCAACCTGGGTGGGAGGGGTGGCTCAGTGGTTAAGAGCACAGGCTGCTCTTCCAAAGGACCTGGGTTCAGTTCACAGCACCCAAATGACAGCTAACAACCATCCTTAACTCCAGTTCCAGGGGATCCAATGCCCTCTTCTGGCCTCCCATGGGCCTTGCACAACACAGGTGGGCTTACATACATGCAGGCAAAACATTTATACACATAAAATAAAAATTAAAATTTTCTAAAATTTCTAACCATAAAAAATATTGCATTAAAAAAATATTGCATTACTCTAAAATTCTCAAGGGACGGTGGAATGAAGGCATAAATTAAAGAGAGAGCAATACAAAGCCACCACCTGCTGATGAAGATCTAGCGGACTGTTTTAAGAAGCCACACAGGGTCTAGATTCCTTTTGGTTTTAAAGTGCTGTGGCAGTTTTTACCTAAAATGCAAATATTTACCAAATGCCAGAAATCACATCCCTTGCATGTTTTAAAATATATTAAATGCCAAATTAAAAATGTACAAGATGAGACTTTTTTAGATTTATTTTTGTGGGGTACCAAGGGCAAAAGCCCTCTTCAAACCAATAGCCTGGTGGCTTCTCCCTCCTCTCGTCCCCTGCCTAAAGGACAGAAAAATTAAAGGTGAGCTGAAACCAAGCTCTGCTGGTTGTTGCTTGTAGAGTCTGAGGGGCCTTGTTTACCCTTTCTTCTCCAGTCCAGAACCTCAGCCTCTGGGACAGGCAAGCCCCCTCCAGGTTGGGGGAGGGGGTGGGGCAGACATCAATCTGGCAGATGGCAGACCTTCAGACTCTTTGAACTTGAAACGTGCCAAACCTACCACAGATCAGAGGAAGACCTGCTTGGGCCACTCTAAGGAGAGAGGACATGGCTGTACCCTGCAAATAACCTGCCCCCATCCTTGGCCCATACCATCCCTCCAGTGTCTGGCTGGTTGACTTGAAGGTAGCCATCTCCACAGATGCCTGGTTGATTTCACAGGGAGCTGTTTTTGTAGGACAGGCTGATGAAGTCTGAAGAGAAACAGGGCCTCATTCCAACCCACAGTCATACTTTGGTTTGGGTGATCCCCACCCCACTGCTGGCTGTCTCTCAGCCTACTGCATCTCTAGGGCCCCAATCTGAGCCTAGGTGACACCCAGGAGGGGCATGAGGCTGGAAGCGAACATCTTTCCTGGCGCCCCAGGGGCAGGAGGACTAGAATGGGAGTGAAGGAACAGCTTAGGGAGGCGCTGATACAAAGGAAGGAGGCTTCTCTGCTTGACAGTCTAAATTAGTTCTTGATTCCCCCACCTGCAGAGAGTGCTGCGTGTGGAAGGGGAAAGCAGGGTGCGGAGTCAGACTTTTGGTGCTATGAGCAGGCAAGCGGCTTGTGACTTGGTCAGGCCCTTGTCTTCTTATGGGCCTTAGTTTCTTCATATGTAAATGGGGCTGCAATGAGGTCCCCATAAGCAGAGCTTGAAGACAGTAGTCTTTCTGGGGCTCCCACGGTGTCCCTCTGCTCCCTCTTGTTTGGAGACTTGTGGCTGCAATGGGCCCTGGTCCTTCAGAGTCCCCTTTCATAGCTGTATCCCCTTTCCTTCCAGGCTTGAGAGCTGGTTTCTCCCCTCCTCCTGCACCCCGAAGGTCTGTGTAGCAAAGAGGACCCAGGGAAAGACTGGAGAACGGGGAAGCTGCCTTAATGGTGAAGGTGCAGGTGGATGATGGAGGGGGGGGTCACACAGCAGCCGTCTGCTTCATGCTGTGGAAGCTGATCCTGGTAGGTGATGTGGGGATGGACATGGCCCGGGCCACAGGCACTCGAAGGGAATGATGGTCCTGCCAGCGATGCCACCGCTTTCTCAGGGCTGAGCGCACCTTTGGGGAGGGAGAGGTTCAGTCATCTGTCAGGCCAAGCCTCTGCCTGCCCCTTGAAGCACTGTTCAAGAAGACTGAGATGGCCCTCATTCTGTCATCCTCACACCAAGGAACAGATGGGGTCCCAAACTGAGATCCTTTCCTTAACCCTGCTGCCTGCTCTGCAGCCTCTTTTGGGGGTCAATCCTCCCTGTCCCTCTCCTGGAGTGGCCATTGGCTTGCTGAAGGTTCCAGTTTCCTAGTAATAGTCTACCACCTTGAATTTGGCATCCACAGCCCCTTCAGCCCAGGGCCTGCTCCAAGAGGTCATCAGACCTAGCTTCTTCCTCAGGAAAGACCTCTCCTGGCCAGCCTCAGCAGCCCCACCTTAGCTACCACTGTCAAGTCAAAGCTCGGAGTTCTCATCTCTGCACCTGACTGGCTCTGTTCTATCAGTATTGTAATGGAAGGTTCTGTAAGGCAGGTCTCATCTGGGACCCGAGCCCATGGTTTGATCAAAATAAACATTCATTTCTGTTTTCTTCGGTGACTCCTGCTGTCCCTACTGTCCAGCCCACAGAGGCACCCTCTACTGAAGGTGTCTCTCTCTGGGTTCAACTTCAATAGACACACCTTGCCTGCATGGATACCCACCATAGCCCTATTACTGGTGCAGGTCAAGTGGCCTCGGGAGGGCGTTTGTGACCTTCTGGAGTGAGTGGAAACAGGCTTTGGGGCTGTCTGCACTTTGCTGCAGGCCCTCAATAGAGACTGGGTTTGTGTCTCCCTTGGGTCAGCTGTTTGGGGATTCTGAGCCCTCTTAGCTGACCAGCTGTCACCCATTGCCCTCCCCGACCCCCAGCTTGCTCAGAGTGGGTAGTCTTATGGGCCTAGGAAATGTGCAGGTCTCTTTTCCTTTTTTTTTTTAAACATTTATGTGTGTATGTGTTTTTGAGTGTGCCCCATGATGCATATGTGGAGGTCAAAGGACAACTGGCAGGAGTTGGGTTTCTCCTTCTACCATGTGGGTCCCAGGGATTGACCTCAGGTCATCAGGCTTGACAGCAAGTACCTTTACCTACTGAGCCAGTTCATTTGTCCCTGCTGTTCTCTTTTCTGCTGAGTTCATAAAGAACTGTGTGGGACACATACCACTGCCATCCTTTTCTGGAACCTTCCTCCTATTACCCTCTCTGTCCTGGCTTCTCTCTTCCTTGAGGCCTTGCTGCCTAGGCTCCCTGGCTCTGAGGGCACTGTATGCTGGGACATTATTTCTGGCCTTCATAAGTGACTTTCTAAACTGGCTCTGTAGGAGTCCTTTCCCTAAACCTTGACTGAAACCACCTGGGAGTGGGGTCTAAGAACCCTAAGAACTCAGGCCACACCAAGGGCCCAGCATCCTACCTCTCCGTTGAAGAAGCAGTAGAAGACAGACACAAAGAAACCCTGGAAGAAAGGAAGGACAGTCAGACACCTGCTGAGAAGCCACTCTGCCTGGAAGGCAGAAGGGGACAGGATGACTGGGGGCATACCTCCCAGAACCCAGGGGTGAGAGCTGGGTGGGCCCTCAGAAGTCCTGAGCCTGGCTGAGGGATGAACTTACAGCAGGGTCTGCTCTGAGTGGGTGTGGTCTCTGGCCTAGAACCAGATTTCCATCTAAACATCCTAAGCCTGTCAAGAATGTTGCATGGGGACACCTGAGTCCTGGGATGGGGGTGACAGGGCCAGGGCAGCTTGGGCAATGTTTGAGGCCAAATGGGGTCCTGAATGTGAAAGCATTTGCATTTCAGTGCTGGCATACCCTGGCCCCTGAGCATTCAGGCCTGGAAGCTCACTGCCATTGTGGTGCCCACCTGGAAGGACTGCAGGAAGGAGTTGAAATAGATGAACACAATCTGTGACAGGTCATCCTCCCCAGGATTGACGAAGAAGAGAATGTAGGTGATGCCCAGCAGGGGCAGGAGGACGAGGGTAGCCTTCACTGCCTTCCTGTGGGGAGAGGGGCAAAGGATGATGACAGACCTGTGCCTACCCTCAGGCAGGGCCTCACTCCAGTGGGAAGATGGGGCCTCAAGCTCCATAGATGAGGACTTCGGAGAGCTATGCCTAGGAGCAGGGGGTTGACCTGAACTCCTTGCTTCTCCCCTGCTAGGGTCAAGGCAGCCAGGCATTCCCATACCTGTACTGGATTGTCTCAGATGCAGTGGATGCTCGTAATTTTGTCATCAGGATCCTGACGATGTTGAACAGAAATACAAAATTGATCTGGAAGTAGACAGAGGACATCAAAAGGTCTGTAGTAGGCATGGGCTGAGACAGCCATCCTCCCAAAACCTCTGAAAACCTGCATCCCAGGCACAAGCCTCAGTACTGAGCACCTTCAGTCCCCCAACTTCAGTTCCTCCCTGGCCAGGACAGGAGGGCACCCCCAACAGGCCTGCTCTCTATCCCTGGTACAGAGTAAAGACAGTATATGGGAGTAGCGATCACTCTTCTGGGAACACCTCAGAGACACCCCCCTCCCCCGCCCTGCTCCAAGGCCCTAGTGCTCTGTCCCACCCCTCTCTCAATTACAGCATCCAAACTGATTAGCTAGAGGTCAAACTGTCACTGGCTCTTGTTTGGTCCAAGGTCTTTTTAGCTCTGCCCTGGTGGGAGGGGGACACGGGTCAGATGGAGAGATTAATCTCTCACCACCCCTGCACTTAGTAACTCCCAAGCCTTCAGACATCCACAGGCGAGGAAGATGAATGGGCTGCCGAGAGGCTCTGGGAAAGGGCCTCATTTATCTTCATTTGGAGCTTTCCCTTAGCTCAGAGCCACTCCCACCTGACTCCCATAGTCTACTTGCTCCTGAGGCAGCTTCCTGCTGCCTGGGTCTCCAGTCTCTTGGTCTCTGAAGGGCGAAGGGTCTGTAAATTGGTAGGTTGGTCCCTGTGGCTGTGGAATGTCACTGTGCAGCCCGCTGTGGGCTTGCAAGCCCCATGTGCTTGTGCATATGAGTTTACCTCAGAGTAGCCTGTGCACCCATGCGTGTCTCTCTATCTGTGGACACGGTGTGCATTTCTCTTCATGCGCCAAGTGCCAGCAGGAAGGAATGGGAGTGTACAACGGCCTGCTGAGGCTCCTTCTTTAGAAAGTGTTCATAGTCTAGGAGCCCAGATGTGTACTGGTCCATGTGTGTGGACACACATACTCACGTCCCTCTGTCTCTGTCTAGAAAATTCATTACTTGTGAAGCTTGGGTCAGCTACATTATAGATCCCAAGCAGGGAATAGAGGACATCAGCATGTACAGAGAGAGAGAGAGAGAGAGAGAGAGAGAGAGAGAGAGAGAGAGAGAGAGAATATGGCCTGGTGAGCCCACAGAAGAATCAGGGAGGAAGACTTCCAAGAGGCTGCTCATGGTTCTCTCTAAAGGCTCATCTAGCCTAGTGTAACACAGAGTGCTTGATCTTTTCTGGGTTTTCCTGACTTCTGACTTGGAATGAAAGGATATTCTAATTTCTGTAACATTTCCTTGCATTAAACATTACTCAGCTAATTAGTTTATTCAATTATCCACTCAATGTTCATCTATCCATCTACCCACCAAACATTCAATTATCTATCCACCATTTTATACATCTATCCATCCATCCACCCTCTCACCAACCAACTCATTCAGTTATCCAATGTTTCATCTATCCATCAACCCACCATTCATTCATTCATTCAAATTATTTGACTATCCTTTATTCATCCATCCATTTATACACCCACCCTCCCACCAAAACAATTCATTCAGATGTCCACCAGTTCTTTGGCTTACCCTGCATCCGACCTTCCCTCCATCCATCCAGTCACCCAGTCACCCAGTGATTACCAAGCAACTGTTGGGTACAGGGCCCTATTCTCTACACTGAGCAGGACAGAAACAGGGGCTGATGTGGAACATCCTGGGAGACAGGACCTAGCCCTCTCCTTTCACTAGGCAGGCTACCTCAACCTGGAGTTTTGCCCCCAGAAGCTACCCTTTCCTCAAGTTTTTTTCCCAGTCTTCTCCTTTATGGTATCCATACCAACCCCACCCCAGATACCTTCCTCTCTCTCCAGGGAGACCTCTGACCACTCCAGCCCACACTGAACTCTCCAGTACTCCATTTTGGATTCTACTTTATATCCCCCTCAAAGCAAGATATGCCAGTTCTTCAGTGAGCATTGGCTATTTGGGTACCAGTGAAGAGGACATGGGCAGGCAGATACAGGCCCAGTGCACAGAGGGCTATGGCAGTTGGGGCTGGTGAGAGAATGCATTTTTTCCTAGTGGCTCAGACAGGGCTGGACAATGGCCCTGAAATCTGAAAACAGGTGATAAGACAACTGTGAAGGTGAGGAAGCTTTTAGACATAGACCAGACCAGGAGAGAAAGGTCTTGAGTGGAGGAACCAGACCGTAATAGTGGCCAGTGTGGCTGCAGAGATACTGCTATTGTGGGAGTCAAGATGGGCCCAAGGAGGGAAGTGAAAGCCATATAGGAAAATCTACCTTCTTCTGCAACAAACCCCTTGCAGGGCCCTCCTACCCAACCCAGAATGTTTTTAGAGGGGCCCATGTGGCTAGATTCTGAGACTGCTGGAGGAGTAGGGGTGAGGTTAGCCCCCTGAAGAAGCCCCCTAAGAAGTCTCATCTCTCCAGACATCCCTTGTGGACACTTGCATTCCACCTGCTTCTCTGTAGAGTGGGTGCCAGGGCTGGCAAAGGCCTGAACCATGCAGCTGGTAGTAGGCATCAGGTCATTGTGTAATCTTCTGATTGGGGAACTGGGGTACTTCAGTCTCTACTGTCCTGTGCTAAGATGGGCTTGGGGAAGCCTACTCATGCCTAAAGCCCACCAACACAGACCCAGCATTCACATGGTTCCAGGTATAGTACATAGCACCACATACTTATTCCCCAAGCCACAACCTATTTTACAGGCAGGTACGACCACCAACCCTGCTTTACAGATAGACGCACTGAGGTGCAGAAGGCTGCTTGCCTTGTCAAGCCACAGAGAGGGGTCAGCTGGTTTCAGCAGCCTTCTACCACCACTACCACCCCATGCCCCCTGCCACATTGCCAAACAGAAGGAAACTACCAGATCCTAGAATGGGTGAGTTTCAGAAGCTTCCCATGGAGAAGTCTTAGGTAACACATTTCCCTACCTAGCAGCTGTGCAGACCTGGGATTATACTCGGGACACCAGATGTGCACAGTTAAGGCCCCTGGATGCTGTTACACATGCAGGTGGCTGGGGCAGCCTGGGGCCTGGGCATCTGCATTAAGAACGGGTGCTACCAGAGGCCATGCGGATGCTGCAGGGATGCTGTGGGTATTTCAGGGAGGGATGCAGAAGGAGAAATCACCATCCGTGAGCTGCAGAACCCAGCATTAGTCAGTCAGACATGATGTGCCACATGCTGTAGACAGCTATCCTTTGTCCATTGGGCCTACAGGGCACAGCGCCTAGCCTGAGGCTTCTCTGGTGTCCTGGGACAAGCTCAGAGTGACAACAGGGCAGATTGAAAATGGAGAGTTACAGGGCTGGCTCAGCAGTTAAGAACACTGGTTGTTCTTGCAGAAGACCCAGGTTCGAATCCCAGCACCTACATGGTAGCTAACAACTGTCCATAACTCCAGTCCCAGGGGATCTGATAGCCTCTTCTGAGCTCAGCATTGCATGACACAGGTGTACTTACCTACATGCAGCCAATACATGCATACACATAAAACAAAAATAATAAATAAAATTTTTAAAAAAGAAAATGGAGAGTTAACGGTCCTGAGGCAACCTCCAGGGCAGATAGATAGGCCAGCCTCCCTACTTTTGAGGCAATGTCTACCTTTGTGTACAGTTCAGAGGTGCCACACAGAGACCTAGGCATGTCCTGATGGTAGCCCTGACCTGGTTTGCTCCCTTCCCTAGTTTCTGCTCCCATCTCCTGCTATGGGTCCTGTGACCACCTCCAGTGAACTCTTGGCTTCAAGTCTCCAGGCTCAAACTCCCACTGCTTAAGCTGCATTTTCATGGATGGCCTTAGGCAAGTTGCTGGACTCTTTGAGCTTCAGTTTTCTCATCTGCCCTATAGGTGTAACCACAGAGCTTGCCTTGAGGATTGACATAGGATGATAATCATGGTGGCATGAAGCCATGTGCCTGTCTGGTATAATGAATGCCAAATCCCTCTTCATGATAATCATTAAAGAGAAGTCAGGCTTCCCATAAACTCTACCACCTGATTCCCTTCACAGAATCTGGAAGTGAGTATCTCTTGGCAGAATAGTAGTGATGAGCCACTAGCAAAGGAGAGGCAGGGGAAGCAGGGAAAGCACAGACAGCAGGCAGGTGATGTATGAGTGGTAAGGCAGGAAGCCTGCCCCCAGGCCTCAGCTCTACCAGCTATGATGTGGCTGGCCTTGAGCTCAGTCTGTACATCTGTACAATACGGAGTGTCATCTTTGCTGTGTAGTAAAGGATGTGAGGATTGGAAGTGACAGGACAAAGCTTGTAGGAGGGCTCAGCTTGGAACCTGGAAGCCCTTGCTAGTACAAATAGCTGACTCCAAAGGGAGGGGGGTGTGGAGTCTGTGCAGGGGGCATACCGGGGAGGCAGGGAGCTAGGGCTCAACACCCAGGCCCCAAATCCCCCCTTTCTCTATTGTTTCCTCACTACCTGGACAACAGCCTTAGGCAGGGGCTCATCCCAAAGCCATTAGTTACTGTCCAGGCCAGCCTTCCTTGGCTGAGTCCCAAGCTGATCAAAAGCCCCAGTCCTTCAGGATAAATTCATGGCAGCTGGCTGGGAGGTTTTCATTCACATAAAGGGGTGAGTGACTCACTGCAACCCAAGGACAATCCTTCCCTCACTCACTGCTGACAGGGCCCAGCTTCTGCCTCTGAAGTGAACTGAGTCCTGAAGGTGGGTGAAAAACCTTCCTAGTCACCCTTGGCACCTAGTCACCAAGGATACTCCGAAGATGTGGTCCAGTAAATACAGCAGTCACAGGAAGGATTGGAGCCAGGAAATGGAAGAGATAAACAGTAATTTTTGCCATGGTAGACAAAGGTAGGCACCATTAGGCACCTGCTGTGTGCGAGAAGAAGGCATACTCTGAGTTTTCCAGAAGGCTCTGTGGCTCTTTAGGGGAGCTGGTACACACAGGAACCTGAAATTACCAAGCCTGAAATAAATCTTATGTAAATGCCAATTTCTTATGGGGCTGTGTGTGTGTGTGTGTGTGTTTAATGTATGATATATAATGGGCTCCCTTTTTTTTTTCAGAATGAAGCCTCTAGTTAAACTCTGTCTTAATTAAAGCTCGTTGTGGATTAAAGATGTGGTGGCAATTATACCTTAGATTCGAATACGCTTGGCAAAGGGCGGGGAGCTGGCCAAGGAACAATTGCTCATTATGCTATATTCTGGAATCTGCTGCTCCTGTGGGCTGAAGGCAGTGGGTAGGGGGGCCCAGAGGGGGTTCCCTGGGGGCAGAGGAACTGCAGTCTAGGTGAGACAGAGGCTGGCACACCTTGCTCTTTTTGCCAGGTGCTTGGCTACCACAGTGTCTCTGCACTGTACCTGACAAAGGGACGCATGACCAGAGAAGGCATTAGAATCCACCAGTCAAACCATTTTTCCTTCCAGCGAAAGCAACAAAGTCCAGAGCAGTGTGCAGTCTATGCCAGACAGGTCCAATGGGAGAGTTTGTGGAGATGGAAGCTGGGTGCCTCATACAGGGCACAGGTTTTTGCCAGTGTCTCTGTCTGGGGGGGGGCACCCTCTGCTAACCGCCCTCCCAGTGCCCCAGCTCCATCCCAGTCCTCAGAGAACCCACCAGGAGCACAAGGATGATAGGGCCTTGGTAGATGTAGTCCACTAAGTCGCCAGGCTCCTTGCTCATACAGGGCACAGGTTTTTGCCAGTGTCTCTGTCTGGGGGGGGCACCCTCTGCTAACCGCCCTCCCAGTGCCCCAGCTCCATCCCAGTCCTCAGAGAACCCACCAGGAGCACAAGGATGATAGGGCCTTGGTAGATGTAGTCCACTAAGTCGCCAGGCTCCTTGCCAAACCAGCACCTGCAAAGACAGAGCAGCTGAGGTGGCCTAGTGGGGTGTGCCCAGGGAGTGGGGGCCACTTTCAACTTGGAGCCAGGCTCCTCTGGTTTGACTCCTCCTGAGTACCAGCCTCCAGGGAAAGCTTTGGTAGACAGCCTCAACTCTGCACACTACTCTAGCCAGGCTCTGCCCCTCTTTTGTTTTACCTGGTAGGGTTGGTCTTTCCATGGACAGCCTGAGGGCTGCCTCGGTCCTCTCGCAGATTGCAGAGGTGGGAGGTAAGGCTGGTCATGAGGCAGGCACAGGAACCCTGGGAGAGCTAAACTCCCCCTCGCTAGCCCTTCTGCACTGTACCAGACACTGATGGCACAAAGCAGTCAGTTTGGCCTTGCAGCCTCCCCCACCCCTCAGCCTGGTCTATAATCTGAGCTGAGCTGCCTACACCCAGCAAAGGCAACCAGCTACCTGGCCAGTCTTGCTAACTGTAGAAAATGCTTTAGGACTCAGGGGAAGGGCTGGGCCAGATCTCCCTTGTTCTGCCAGAAAGTACTGGACTTCAGGGAGAGCCCACCCACCCCACTGTGTCCTGTAGAGACTCGGAGTCATCCAGTGCATGCTGGCCTCAGACAGCCATCTCAGAGGGCCCATATTTCTGGTCTCTATTTGAACACCCTCTTTGACAGGAAGCTCACTACCCAAGGCAGCCCTCTACTTCCTAGGCAGCTTCTGCTTTTTCTAATGCTGAGCTCCTTAAAGGCTACCCCATTCTAGCTCCACCCCCTAAATTCCACTTGTCTCCTCCTACCCCTGTGATACCATAGGAAGCTTCTGTCACCTGGGCCATGGCTCAGTATACCAGTCTCTGGAGCAGGGAGGACTAAAGAGGAACACTACACTCATGCAGATATTGGGACGTCAGAAAACAAGTTCTTGGTAGAATCCATTAAACGCTCATTGGTATGGCTGTGGATACCATCAGGATGGAAGCATAGAGAATTTAGCCATGTCTGCCACACCCAACCAGGAGGAGGAAGGTGGTCCAAAGGCCAACAAAGCCATGTATGTGGCCACTAAAGAAAACACACTTTAAGATTGGCAGTATGGCTCAACAGGGCATGGCTAGAATTCTACCCCAGGGCTTGGCCAGGGCCAAGGTTGGCCTGTCTTGATTCACAACCCCCATGGCTGTCCTGTCCCACTTACTGTTCATTCTCATAGTAGAGTTTGCCAACTGCCCAGGCCATGATGATGGGGCAGGGGATGCCTGAAAGGACAGACATGGGCTGCAGGGGACAGACAGATGCACAAAGACCCCTCCTATAGGATTCAAGGCAGGGAACCACAGGGCTTGGGATCATGGTTTTGGTCTCTGGTGCCCTGTCCCAACCCCTGCCCCAACTTTCATCCACTCTCTCCAAGCAGGGGTATGATGGATAAGTAGAGCCAGCCTGTTTATCTTTTGAAACCAGAGACAGGCTCTTTGGGCAAGTCATCTTGGGCAGGAGGAGGAGGAAGAGGACCCTGTGGAAAAGCCTTTGAAGGATTTTTGGATTCTTCTCAACAGGAGGAAGCAGCTACATCCTGAGTGTGCAGGAGTGCTGGGCAAGGCTGAGCTAGGGCTCTAGGCAGGGCTGTGCTGGGGTGCTGCATAGGGTTGCACAGAGGTGGTAGGCAACCCTGTGCTGGGGTGATAGGCAGGACTGAGCTGGGGTGTTGAGCAGGGCTGTATGGGGGCGATAGGCAGGCCGGGCACCAGTCCTTGGCTTCAAGATGGAGGGAGATGATCTCATCAGTAGCACCCCTCCCCAAGGAGGCCCTGCTGCCCTGGGACCCTCACACCAGCCAATGAAGAGGAAGAGCCACTTGCGCAGGCGCTCGGTGGAGTAGGTCATGACGATGGCTGTGTGCAGATAGCAGCCTTCCACAAACATCCAAAAGAAGTTGGTGACCACAAAGTAGTTGAAGATGGTTGTGATGCAGCGGCACCAGACCTGCAAGTGAGGCAGAGGTGGTCAGATGCTCCTGGGGGTTGTGGCAGAGCAGGTCCCACATCCCATAGGGAGGCTCAGGGTCTTCCACCTGAGGCTCTTGGGCCTGGCACCAAACAGCACTGACTCCTGGTGGACTAGTTCACCTTGCCTAGCCTCACTCTGGGGGACCAAGTAAGAGACCCTTCTTCCCGGTGCCCCTTACTTCCTCCTCTTCTCTCCAGTCTTCTCAGTCTGTGTTTATATCTTGCTGTAGGGGATGAAACCGAGGGTCACATGCACCCTAGGTAAGCGTTCTACTACTGAGGTTCTACGACTGAGGCTAAAAACCTTAGCCTTTAAAAAATATTAAATATATTTTGAGACAGCATCTCCCTAAATTATCCAGGCTGGCTCTGAACTCTGTAGCCTGGGCAGGCCTTTAACTTGGAAGAAGCAAAAACCAGTGAGCAAAGCAAGACAAGGAGGGTGGGGTGGGCTGTGACCATGGAGGGGCTCTCTGAGCTCCCAGCTTGGGGAACTAGGATGTGGAGTAGCTGGTGCTAGCTCTATAGGGTCTTACTAGCTCTGGGGCCTCTGGCCTTGTGGTAACTACCCCACCTTACTGGTGTCGGGAGGAAAGGAAGGCACACAGACATCCGTGATGGCTGTGTTCAAGATGGATGTTGTGTCGCTTCCCAGCAGAGCAGGATCCATGTCGGTTCCTCTGAGTGAGGAGACCCTTCCTTCCAAGCACATTTTGTGGAATGCTGGGAGGATAGGCGCCTGCCCAGAGTCACACAGTGGGCCGCTCTGAGTCAGGGTCCAGGCCACTGGCCTCCACATCTGTGGCTCTTTCCCAGCACTCTGTCAGAGTCAAGGCTAGGATGCAGAGAATGCGGAGGCAGCAGTGGGGGCACAAGCCATCTGGGTGAGAGGAGCCGTGGCAGCCTACCTCTTCCCTGCAAGGCCTTGCTATCTGGCCCCTAGGTGCTACTGCTCTGCTGAGCTGCCAGCTACCCCATGGCTTAGCCCCGATCCTAGGCCCACATAGCTGCTGTCTCCATTTTATAAAGTCCTGATGAGGCAAGAGGATAAGGATCCACAACTACTAGCTCCATCTTTTTCCCAGGTCAAGTTCTGGCTTATAAGTGCCAAGATTGGGACTGGAAGGCACCTAATCTGATACCTCATTGGCACTGCCCTGGCTCTGAGACAGAGCTCAGGTGGGGCCAAGTTAAGGGTCAAACCAGTCTGGGCATGTGTTCAGTGTCAGGACAGTCAAAGAAAATGCACTGAGAACTGTGAGGTGTGCCAGAGAGTGGGGTTGGCCTTGTTACAGTCTGCAGTTCTACAATGGCTTGGACATCATGCTGTAGCAGTTGACACAAATCCAGAGTGGATGCCTAACAGTGGGGTCACAGCGGGGAGGCACCATGCCAGCATGTGACTTTCACATCTCTGAGCCTCGATGTCCATGTATGGGGAAGGGGAACCAATTCCTCCAGTCTCACATTGAGAGTAAGCAAGAGAAAGCTCAGAAGTTAGTTCCAGCCTCTTTTCTGCTAAGGGAATTGGATTTGCAAGGTGAACAGGGAATGGGGTAATAGTCTGGTGTTTGCTGCGTGAAGCCCCCAAGGCCTGGCCTGGCGTGGGCCACTACACAGGATGGAGGGGTCAAGTGTCGGGCAGTGAGGTGGGAATCCCCAAGGAGTGACCTCGTTGCTCTCGTGCACTTCATGGTCAATGAGCTGCAGCAGAAACCACATGACATTTCTCAGGATGAAGGTGGCAATGAGGTTCCAGTGGATCACGTTCCGCAGGCAGCGAATACTCCTGTGGAGGGCCAGATCAGGGTCAGCCAGGTTCAGCAAGGGCTTGGGCTAGGGTCAAGGATCAGCTGTGAAAGACTTGGCCTGAAACAAGGGTGGGGCTGACCAGAGCCCAGTTCCCCTGGTGGCCACAGTTAGGCCTGTTTTGCATCCTTCAGACTGACTGGTGATCATGCCGCCCAACCCTTGACCCAACCCTTCTCAGTCCCCTGCTCTCAGCCCCAGAGCGGAAGAGACAGTACCTGGGAGAGACGAAGCTGAGGAGAAAGAGTGGAGATGGACTCACCGCAGAGCCAGGAAAAGCAGGAAGGCTGCCACCAGAGCCACCACTGAAACACAGTGGCCCAGGTAGTTGACAACCAGGGCGATGCGGTAATGTAGGTCATACTTCCTCTGCTGGATAGACAGACAGACACAGGCAGACAGAGGCACGGCTGTGTGGGAGGGAGCAGAGCTGGGTACTCTAGTCATTTCTGTCCTTGTGTCCTGATCTTGGGACAAAAGGGGTTCCAAGTGTCCCCAGCCTGTAGGCGTCTAGATCTTGCACCTGTTGGCCTGGTGGCTTCTGTCCTGCCAGGTAGCTACCCAGACAAGAAGATCACAAGTTTGAGGCCTACCTGAGCAACTTAGTGTCTCAAAATAAAATAAAATGAGAGGTAGGAATATAGAGGTGGTTGAGGACTTGTCTAGCACATAAAAGGCCCTGGTTTCAATCCCCGGCCACACACACTTAACACACTCATACATACACACATGCCTGCACATGCACACACCCATGTACACTTGTGTACAGGTTGAGGTTAGACATCCTAACACACACATTTGGATATGGTCTACTCTGAGATATCCCAGAAATATAGACAGATTAAAACCTCCAACCCCTCCCTGGGCTTGGTCTATGCTTAAACTCCAGCTGATAGACTAACAGTGTGAGCTACCCTTAACTTTGGCATCTGTAAATGGGGCCCACCTGTCCTCCTGCTTTAGAAGCAGTGACCTATGAGAGTTCCAGAGGGGAGGATGGGATTGGGTCTCAGCACAGCAACGAGGGTGTACACTGCAGAACGTTTACTACTCAGATGGAATAAAAGCCAGTCAGTCCACTTTGCGTTATCACCAAGCACTGGCAATTCTAAGCAGTTAGTGATTAAAATATACCCTCTTCCTTCCAGGGTGGCCCATGCCCCACCTCACCTCCATGCTGGGTCATAACTGTCAGAGGGGCTGTAAGAATAGAGGGAAGGACAGAGGGCTAGTGAGAGCTTCTCTCTCTCCAGACTTTATGACCATCCTTCCTGCTTCTCTAGGTCTCCTTATGGAACACTTGGGCTCATATTCTGTGGCACCACCCTCTTAGAGTAGGCAAATGTTCTTGCTTCTGCACTTGGACTTCATTTGAAAACCAACCGAGGACTTCCTTGGGTGAATGAGGAGAGAGGAATCAGGACACGGGATTTTTAGTCAGGAGTGAAATACAGCTCATTGGAGTCTAGCTCAATGGTAGAGTGTTTGTCCAGCATGTATAAGGTCCTGAATTTGATACCCAACACTACAACTAATGGCAGGGGAGGTCAGATCTTTGGCAGTATCAAATCCATTCCAGAGAGCCACTGCAAGAATGGAGAGCCAGCAGACCCCAGCTTCCTGCATGGACAGTCCTGGTGGGGATGTACTTTCTCCACTGAATCAGAGAATATCAGATATGGAAACTGAGGCTCAGAGGAGAGAGAAAAAAACTGGCCACACAGCCCGTTAGACATTGGGGAGCACTGGCTACATGGTTGGGCCTTTGCTGTGTTCCAAGCCACCAGCTCAAGCTCTCCTGGAGGTGTGACTCTGTGGGCACTGGAGGCCAGGGGATGCAGAAAACAGGTCCTGCTACCCTTGAGATCCTTCATGCTCAACCAGAGTCCTACCAGCATATAAGGACCTGGGTGGGGGAAAGGTAGGGTCACTCACCTTATCATCCAAAATGGGCTCACATTGTGAGTAGTTGATCCTTGAAGCCCATGTCCCGTTGTCCAAGCATTCTCGGTAGGCATTCCCTACAGAAGACGCCAACCACCAAGAGTCAGGTGACTCTCCCTCCTCAAGAACCCTCCCCTCCCTGGTACCTGCAGGGTGAGGTCCACACTCCTTAATCTCCAGGACCTGGAAACACAATGCGCACCTGAAAGCTTCCAGGGAAGTCATTTACATGAGAACTGCACAAAAGGCTTTGTCTTACACAGTGGCTGAAAGCTTGCTAAAACCTATTTCAGACACAATCTTTGACTGGCTCTTTGTGTACCTTCTTTCACTTGTTCCTTTGCTACAAAACTGATCCCAATTGTGAGTCCTGAGTTGTGGCTGAAGATTGGCTGCTTTTAGCACAACAAATCATTTCCGTCCCTGCATTGATCATTTCTCCTGTGCACTCCACACTCTTCAGTATCAGCTCTTGCATTTGAACAATAGCTTCATTTATGCAGTGTGTGCCTGCCTGCCCAGGTGCTTTTCTAACTGCATCTAATGGACAAGATACATTTGCCACTCAGTTCTTGTGACAACCCTATTTAGTAGGTACTGGTCCTCTTTCTATGGAGAAGAAAGCAGGCACAGAGAGAGGTGAGGGTACAAGGGTGACAAGACTCAAACAAAAGGTCAGGCTTTGGGTTTTGTGCTTTTGACCTCTAGACTACTAGGTTGTTGTAAACAGGAATGAGGAAAGTGGGGGGATGCAGGGCTGTTCTCCTGCCTTGGGGCTATAACTGCTTGGCAGGCCATTACGTGATGTATATGTGTTGAGAATCGGCATCCACAGTAAAATTGAGCGTGATGTATAATAGGACATTTTGGAGCAGCAGTGTTCAACGTACAAAAGCTTGGGCTTTATCAAGGGCAAAAACATGAAGGCTGAAAATGCCCACATCCAGCATTCAACCAGAGCTCTGACTGTGGAGACCTAATTCCAAAGCCTCCCCTCCAGATATCCCACCCCTGCACACCCTAGGAAGGAGGGACGCCTCCTCCCTAAGATCCCCCAAAGCCCTACGCCTGCCTCTGCTCTACATCACATTGTTTGCATGGAGCTCACCTCCTCCTTGATTACGATTCTGAATGATCCATTGTTTGGGAGTGATTTGTACCCTGGCTCTGCTCTCTCTGGCTAATGGGCATCTGTTTGTGGGCTTTCTTTTTGGCTTATGTTAGATATACAATATAAAGCTAATTAAAATAAATAGCTCAGAGCACAAAGCCACAGGGCTGGAGGGAAAAGTTTAGATTGTTTTTGGAAGCAGTGAGTTCTGAAAAACATTAAGTTAGTTAAAAACCCACTTCCGTTGTGCTGGCAGTGAGTTAAAAGCAATGGGATTATTAAGGAGCACTCATTGAAGAGCAAAAACAATGCGGGGGATTCTATTACCATAATTAATCTTTAATTTGGTCCTCTGACTTCATAGATTTTTTTCAGACTCTTCATAGATCTGAAAAACTTTGCCTCCAGCACCACCAGGGTGAGACCCATCTCTGTCAAGATCCTGCCTGAGTCAACCAAGGGTGCCTCATGAGAACTGTGACCCTCAGAGAGTGACCTGGGCACCTCTTCGGGTCTCAGCCTCCATTGTAAAGAGACTATGCACCCTGCAGAAAGACCTACCCTCCCAAGACCCCTCTGCTACTTTATTCGGGGACACCCCTGACCTGGCATGTTTAGGTAATGCCTCCTTCACTGTTGCTGAGGAAGGTGGTCCTGCTCATCAGATAAATGCCTACCTGCTTAAAAGCCATCAATAAGTGGTTCTTTATGATGCTCAAGAATGAAGTCCAATTTTCAGAATGGACTGTGTGACTGGCCGGCACCCATACACAGTGACATTTGCTCTAAGAGGTCCAGCACATGCTTGGATCTGTGCTTATCCAGCCCTGAGGCACTCTTCTCCCATTTGCTCCTCACAGACAAACTCTGCCCACCTTTAAACCAGCATGTGCTATGCCACCTACTCCATGGTGCCTTCCCAACACCCCAGATCTGAAGCCACCTCTTATTTTCCTAAGTACCTCCTCTAAAAATTCTCATTTTTTGAAACTTAATACCTCATCTTTTCCTGCCCTCCATTAACACGCATTCTTGTATCATCTAATGCACACATATGCCTGGATCCAGTTTCACAAAGCAAATGTATTTTGACCACAGTTATAATGTTTTCTATTCTTGTCTAAAGTTAGTATTCTATTCATTTCATATACAAATGCTAGTCATGACCCACAAAATTGATTTCACAGTCCACTATTGTCCCACAAGCAGTAGTTTGAAAAACAAAAATCTATTTTCAAGCATTTGCCAGGATTTACTGTGGGTTCTGTCTCTTTGAATACAGTCCTTTTCTTGGATACTGGACCTGAGCTCCTTGGAGATAAACACATATGCAGAGTCCATGATGGGGTCACTGAGTACCCCTCAGGAGCAATAATTTGAGTGCATGTGGGATGCACTGAACTTAGTTCTACTAAACCTTGAAAAGCAGAATCTGAGATGCGGGATGTGAGGGCAAGAAGGGCTTCCCTCTGGGGACCCAGCACTGTCTGGGGATGAATTTCTGCCTACAAATACTCAGTACCAGAGGACTAGAAGACAGATATACCTGCGCTTTGAGGGAGCTGTCTGCTGCAGCTAATGAGGGCACCAAGCCCTCAGGCACAGCCTTAGACAGGAGAGTGGAGAAACCCTGCTCCTCCTCCCCCAAAGCCACAGGAGGATGGGTACAAAAAGACTGAGGGCAGGTGGCCAGGCCAGGACTTTGGGGCTGGATGCAGCCAGGTGGGTGCTTGTTACCACAGCAACACAGATGCCCCCTGATGAGGATCGATGCTGATGGTGTGCAATCTGTCCTGCCCGGGGCATTAGGGTCTAGATGCTGTGGGCACAGATCCCCAGAGTGGCACTGGACTGTTGAAGCAACAGGCTCTTTGCTTTTCAGGTGCCAACACTTTGCCGATAGTTCCTTGCTCAGGGACTTACCTGAGGTGGTTCAGAAACCTAGGAGATGGGGCCTATCATTTACCTATGTAGATGCCTATGAATGATTATGGATGATTAGGTGACCATGGTTAAGTCTGCTCCCTTTTACCTCTCAGAAAAAGTCATTTCCATTGATTTCCAGTGGTATTGTTGGCATCTCAGGTGAATAGATTTTCTGTTAAATGGGTCTTTCCATTTTACTAAATGCCACTTTGCCCCAAAGCCATTCTGAAAATTCCAAGAATCCTTAAATTACTTACAAATGCTTCCTAGATTGTTAACCCTCTATTTCTGACATCCTGACTGGTAAAAGAGGGACCATGGGAGGCAGGGACTGTGATGAGCCATTTTTTGGTGCTAGTTATAGGGAAAGAATTCAGGAAGCAGGTTGGACATGGGAGAAAGAGTCAGTGAGATTGTGTTCTGGGGCATTTTGTCATTGACTATCTATAAAGAAGACAGAAAGAGGAGAGGGAAGGCAGGGGATGGTAGGAAAGTGGGAGCCAAAAGCAATAGTTACAGGAATGAGGTCGGTGCACAGGCCTGGAACTTTCAGCACCACGGACAGCAAAATGCCAGTTTCAAGTCCTCACCTGCTCTCAGGTGGGGAACCACGGAGCTCTCCAACTGACACCCTGTCAGCTCCAGTTCCCGCTGCAGCCTGAGGGTCCAGCTGCTCACCTCTAACCTGGCTCATGCTGGGCCGGAGTTGTTTTCTTGCCGATTCCTCTAAAAAGGTCCTGCTTTCCCGCCTAGCCTGCAGGTTGCTTCTAACTGGACTTGGCCTTCACAAGACTGAGATTTCAGAAAGCAAGGCCTGCGCTGCCCTCTCTTCTGGCCCTTCTTACGTGCTGTACAGAGATAAGCACAGAGGGATTGTCCAAGGCCGATGTTGTTGCCTAGGTTACTGGGGAACCCAAAGAGGGTGAAAGGCTCCAGGCAGACCAAGAGGAGAGTTGGCAACCTTGGATGACAAGACTCTACTGCACTGCGTGGCAACAAATATGCAGGAGGCACCTGAGTCTCTCACGCACTCAAAGGATTGACCAACCCTATCACCAGAACTTCAGCCACTTCAGCCCAAGCCCCTGTCAGGGACGGCATCAGTCTCAAGTAGCAGCCCTGTGGGCAGCATCCTCCAACTCCGGTATTCACTGTTTCAAGGGAAACACAATGGAAACTGAGTCGAGTCAGTGGGCATCTCCTTAAGAATTTAGGAGGGTGGGGGCTGGAGAGATGGCTCAGCAGTCAGGAGCATTGGCTATTCTTGCAGAAGACCCAGGTTCGAATCTCAGCACCCACAATGCAGCTAACAATTGTCTGTAACTCCAGTTCCAGGGAATCCGATGCCATCTTCCAACCTCTGCAGGCATTACAGGACATGGGTGCACTTACATACATGAAGGCAATACACTCATAAATTTAATTTTTATAAAATTAAAATAATTTTATAAAAAACTTAAGTGGGTAGGGAATGAAGAGATGGCTCAATGGTTAACAGCACTGACTGCTCTTCCAGAGGACCCAGGTTCAATTCCCAGCACCCATATAGCAGCTAACAACTGTCCGTAACTCCAGTTCTAACATCATTTTCTGACTTCTGCAGGTATTACATGACATGGGTACACTTACATATATGCAAGCAATACAGTCATGCACATAAAAATAATAATTTTTTTAAAAAAAAAGAATTTAAAGCTGGGCATGGTGGCACACACCTTTAGTCCCAGAACTTGGGAGGCAGAGGCAGGCGGATCTCTGTGAGTTCAAGGCTAGCCTGGTCAATAGCGAGTTTGAGCCCAAACTCAGCCAGCTGGGGCAACAGAGAGACCCTGTCTCAAAAAGACCAAAGGCAAAAAATAAAAGAATTTAAGAGAGTAAGGAAATTTCTCCCTTATTTGGTCTGGTGGGGTCCAAAGAAGGAAAGGATGTGACATGGCCTTGGTCACCCAACAACAAAAAGGTGCCTGCTCTGGGGAGTACATCTTCCAGGCGTGCTCTGGAGCCAGTTCCTCTGGAAGGAAGGGTCTTTTCTCTCTGTAC